CACCTCCCTAACACCTGGGGCAAGGCAGAACTTGTGTGCTTCAGGGAGAACATGAATTGAAATTATAGATAGAAAGCAGGCACACAGCTTGAACCTGTGATCCCACCACTTGGAAAACTGAGGCAGGAAGGCTACCACAAGTCCAGGGTCAGCTTGGGCTACACAGTTAAGTTCCAGACTATCCTGGGCTACACAATGAGGTCTTGTCTCAAGACAACAAAAAAGCTGTTTGCTGGTTGGTTGTTGTGTTTTACAAAAGGAAGAGAAAGAAAGAAATTGCAGAGAAAAGTTCTAGCCTTTTAAGAATGAAAGGCAGTGGCCCTCATGGCCTGGCGGCCTCAGGCCAGCTCTTGGTAAGGTGCCATGGCCACATCCCTTCATCTTCCCAAAGCAGCAGCAAGCTTTGGTGAGTTCAAGAGAAAACACTGAAGCCTCTGACGGCAGCTCTGCCTGGCAGGAAGCTGGGACTGGGAAGCAGAGGCGAGCTCTGCATAGAACAGGATTTTACCAATTATTCTTAAATTAGATTATGTACTAGGTGATAAAGGCCAAGACAAAGCTACAGAGAGAAACTCTCACAGGGCGGAGAGAACTGCTAACTGTACTATTTATAGAGGAGTGTGATACAACCGAAAACCAAGGCTCAGGCAGCCAGTAGGTAGAATTCAGGAAGGGACACAGCCGTCATGATTCTTCACGACACAGCAGATAGGGCTGTCACACAGTCCTGGGTGACAGGGATGCGTCCTTTCCAGTAAATGGCCTACCTCAGTGGGTACAATAAGCTCACATGTGTCTCCTCGGGCTGTCTGTGGGTAGCAGCAGCAGATATTTCTTCTAAGGGATCAGAAAAGCAGGGACACCCCCCCCACACCAGAACAAGGTGGGCACTGCACAGAGGAAGTACCCAGCAGACTTAAATCAGCCCCCATCCCTGTTGACAAAGCGGGCCAACACACAGTCAGGTGCCTCTTAACAAGTGTGTAAAAAAATCTTGGAGAAACCTAAAAGCAGGTGTTTTCCAAAAGCAGATGTTTTCCCTGCCAGACTCTGCACCACTGTCACACAGTCAGGTTCCCTCCCTGCTCATCTATGAGACTTGGGCTTCAATAAAATCCCCTCACATAGAAATGGCTCCAAGAAGCTGCCTGATATCAATCCTGCCGATTAATCTATTAAATAACTTCTACACATCAGTAGACATAGCAAGGAAGAAAGGGAGGTACCTTGTCCTCGGTTCCCACAGTACTGAAGGCAGGATGATCAATGGACAAGATAAACCAGGAGATGCTGCCCAAAACTGTGGAAGAAAAATAAAACTCCCTGGAGAAGCTGAGCAGGGGCTGTGAGGCAGCGGACCCCCTGCACACAGAGAGAGATGGTGGTGGGAACTGCAATGGGATTGCAGTTATGGAGAAATGGGACAGTACTCCTCAAAGCAGAAGCAAAGGTTTGTGTGTAGTGTGGATTACTGTTCCACTCATACAGAGCCAAAACCATCATTGGAAAGATGGTAAGACTCTGTTCTTAGGAGAGCTGGGCAGAGAAACCATTATTCTCCTCGTTTAAGGGAACTACTACAGAGACTTGATCCCTCTCATTCATCACAGACCCACCCTTTTAAAACTGCCAGTTGTAAAGGTCAGCCCTAATTGATCAGGAGGCGGGAAATTCATGCCACCTTCACCCTGCTTTCCTCCCTAAGCCACCAGAATCCGTAATGGCGAGTTCAGGCAACCTCCATCTGTTCCCTTCACAGACATTGCTGCTAACCTGTTTTCCCAGGTGTGCTCCAGCTAGGCTACTGACTCCCCACCACCCCTTCCTAACACCTGCAGCCTTGCCTGCAGCCAGGCCACAGGGCGATGAGTGAGGGACAGGACAAAGGGACTCTTCTAGAACATGGAGAACTGGACTTTGGAAGGGACTTCCCACCGCCTTCTGATTTTAAAAGCAGATGTGAATTTGGGTAGAAATAGTCATCTTTCCCACATTCTTTCTCCCTTCGTGTTCAGATCCTATTAATCATAGGAAACTGAAATGCTACTCAAGCCAACAGATTCTCAAGGTCTTGCCAAGAAGGCAATTTAACCATAAAGCTTCAACTCTCCGCCCTCGCATGATGGAAATTCACATGAGTGAATGAGTAGTTACATGGTGCTAATGGGGATGCAGAAATGAAGATCCCAAGCTGTATTACTTGAGTCTTCCTGACAGCACCAAGACCTTGCTAGCCTATGGTCCAGTACCCTGATCAAGCTCTTACAGCAGGGGCTACCCCCTCATCGATGAGCTTTAGAGCAACCCCACAGAGACGAAAAATCTTATGCTCAACCATCTCAGGAACCCAAGAAATGAGGAAATGGCAGGGCCTTCCATAAGGTGAAATCCGATTGATGGCTAAGTCCCCCGTTGGCATGAGAGATGTCTCAACTAGAAAAGCACACTCAAGAATGCTGGTCTCTTCCTACCTACACATGTGGACTCCATGGTTCACAGCCCTACACACTTCCCAGCTCCCGTTTTCTCCTGTGTTCTTCTCAGCTGCTTTTCTGGTGCTTCCTCAGCCAAGCTGTGCAAGAAAGTAACCTAAGCCAACGAGATGGCACCCCGAGTAGGTATGCATGCCGCCAAGCCTGACAATATGAGTTTGATCCCCAGAATGAGAGTCAACTCTTATCAGTTAGCCCTGACCTATTCACATGCACCAGCACAAGCATGCCCCTCCATACATAGACAGACAAATACATTTTTACAAAATTCTATAACCCTACCTTACACACTACATCAAGCTGCCCCCATTTTCTGGACATCTAGAGCAGATGTCGCATTGACTTCTGCATATGTGACCTTTGAGCTTATTCTCAACTCTTGCCCCATCTCTCGCCCATACACCTAAACAACTCTCCTCAGAACCCCTGCTTACAGCCTCCATCACAAAGGACATTCTTAAGAGATGAGAAATGTGTAAGCCAGCTCATTATTCTTACTTAAACTTTACTCAACTTGTAGACTTTGAACCTGACTGCAAATTATATCCCGAAACACTTTTGTGACTTCAAAATCAGATGCCTAACTACTGTAAAGCCACCTAAGGGTGATTCTTTCTAGAGAAAAACACACTCACTCCTGGGTGGCTACTCTTATTTTCTTAATTAAACCCAACTTTGCTTCATACTGACTGTGGTGGTTTGTATGAGACATATTCCCCCCCATACCCCCATAGGCTCATGTGTCTGAAGACCCAGTCCAGCAGATGTGCTATTTTGAGGACGCTATGGAACCTTTAAGAGGTGGAGCCTTACTGAACAAAGTGCATTGCTGGGGGAGGGCTTTGAGAGTTCATAGCCCATCCCACTTCCGTTCACTCTCTCTGCTTCATATCTGTGGTTAAAGATGTGATTTCTCAGTCTCCTACTCTGGCTGTCTAGGCCTTCTCCACCATTATAGACTCTAGCCCTCTGGAACCATAAACCAAAACAAATTATTTCTTATATAAGTCACTTTTGGTCACCTAGTGTTTTAACACAGAGACAAAAAGCAATTCACACACTGACTCATTGCAAAATTATTTTCTGTGATATCAGTCAAGATCCTGGCCCTATCTAAGCAGAGACCTCTAAGGTGAACTCCTCAGGCTGCACAGCCAGTATCTCAGGCTGTGTTTTCCCCTTCCACTGATACACCCAGAATGTCTTGGTCACATTTTCTGCAGCCTGGACCATCAAACCCCCATCTGGAGCCATCACAGTCTTGGTTGCTCTGGAGCAGCATCCTCGATGGAAAGCCTAATTAGCTCCTCCAGAGATGACCCATTTCTGAGATATAGTACCACAGGCACACACTTCAGTTACCCAGTGTGATTGCTCTCACAGCCACCATGGCTGTCCTGGCGACAATGCATCACTCCTCTCAATGTCACTGAACTCCCTGGAGCTGCCGATGGCCAGCTCTGCTTCCAGGGATGGCATTTGCTGTCCAGGCAGATTCATCCATCAACAGAGGCATGCTCTCACTCCGGGCAGCATCTTGGCTACATTTTCATATGTTCCCAAACTAAATAGCTGCCGTTATTAAAGAACAAGCGGCAAAGGACACTCTGGGGGCTTCCAGGGAGGATTAAGTATGAAGGCTTCTTTCTAATAACATTTTTGTCTTGGGTTGACTATGCTGGTCAGGGAAGACATTCCGGTGCCTGATATCGTTTATATGGTCAGGCAGTAGCAGATAATGGAAAGAAAAGAGATATATGGAGACAGACAGACAGATATGATATGTAATGCACATGCATATATATGCACACATTTCTACACAAACATATACCTACTTTGCATCTCTAGCTATTCATGTGCCATGCTTATGAATTAAGATTAAAATGAGGATTCAGAAACATAATTTGCAACATTAAAATATTCTTTTAAAATTTGTTTTTGCTTGTGTCTCTGAATTGAATATTTTATTAACCCAGTAGTCTTATTATTCAGGACCATCAGAACATTTGACCTAAATCCATATGATTTCTACCAGGAAGGCAGTAGAGATGAGCTCTTCTCACATAATTTATATTAGCAGACTTCATAAACATTATGAACTGTAACCGTCTCACCTCCTGTTTTTACAAGGTAGTGACTCTGAGTTTAAGCCTCATAAAAATGATTTACAGCCATACGGTTATTATTCCTACATCTAAGCCACACCCAGCACATTCTGAGAATGTTGCCCATTTGCCCTGTTGCTCAGTCCTGGTAGAATCTGAGTCTGCGCTGGCCTGGCTCTGTACACTAAACTGTGGTGCCCTGTGCTCACCATAGGTTCCAGAGGTGCCACTTGGGGTGACCACTGCTTTGTTGGTTTCTCAGAGACTGCCAGCCTGAAAGCCTGAAGGCTAGACCTTCCAATCAACCACTTAGCTAGCACCTCATATTAATAAGACAGAGGAAGGGAGAGGAGGGGAGAGGAGGGCGGGGGAGCGGGGAGGATCTGAGAGGCTCAGTCTTTACCTGCTTTTGAAAGAGTTTCATTTCTTTCCCAGGCAGAGTCATCGTTGGGGGATGAGAAAAGTCGACTGTTCATCTGGAAAACAACAGAAACTTTTCCAGTTCTCTGTTTTTGTTTTTTGGTTTTGTTTTGTTTTGTTTTGTTTTCTGATCAATAGCACACATCCGAGTGCTGGGAAGACGGCTGACTGGGAAAAGCAGCTGCTGTGTAAGCCTGACAACCTGAGTCAGATCCCCACAATACATGCTCAGCTGAGCACGGGGTGAGAGCATCTATCATCCCCAGGGCTTCTCTGGAAAGATGGAGGACAGGAGAATTCCAAGAACCCCCAGGCCAGCTGGCTTAGCACACACCGCAGTGCACAACAAAGGGACCCTGTCCCAAAGCAAGGTAGGAAGTGAGGACTGACACCCAAGGTTGTCCTCTGACCTCCATATGCACTGTGGCATATGCATGCCTGTATACACACACACACACACACACACACACACACACACACACACACACACACACGTGTGTATACATCACACACAGGGCAGGGTAAGAGAGTCCAAGAGAGAGCATACATTATTTTTAAAACTAGAAACATCCCTGGCATCTGTCTGTTCTCCCAAGAAAGAACCAGAGAGTCTTATGAGTGAGTATATCTCCATCTAATTAGCACTGCCAATGAAGTAAAGCATAGGTTTCTGATTACTTCAAAATGTTCAAGAGGGAAGGAGGAGAGAGACAGAAGACCAGAAGAAGAAGAGAGAGGGAAGAAAGGAGGGAGGAAGGGGAGGGAGGGGGGAAGGTGTTGAAATCAGCTAACATTGATTCCAGGTGGATTTTGTTAGTAGATCAAAAAAACCACCTCCCAGTGTTGGGTGGATGCTAAACCTGAACATTCAATAAATATTGGTAAATCGACTAACTGAGCAATTAAATTTCAAGAATTAGCTTGTAAAGTCCAATGAAAATAAGATTAATGTCCACAAAAGAGTTCTATTGTCTATAAGCACATTATCACACTGATTTTCCCCTTCAGAGGCAAATGGTTGAAATTCTGCTAGTCTTTGTAAAAGCAGTTACTATGAGGGACACTGTTGGATCTGGTTATGATAAGAGTGAGGCTACAAAAGGTATGTCCAACTTTATTTGACACGACAAAAGGGTGTTGATCAGGAACCATGCACCAAGTTGCTCAAAAAAAAAAAATCACACACACTAAAATCTCATAATGGGGTTGGGACATGAACTGAGACATGCATGATCACCATTACTGCCATGATCATCATTGAGGCCACTGTCATCATTTCCGTCATAGCTGTCACCATGGGCACTGAATGTTAGTGTTTGACCAGCAGACTCCGGCAATGCTCACATATCCACCATACTCCTCTCTGTTCTAGTCTCACACTTAGTGTGGACATGTCACGGGAAATACAGGATAACGTGTGAAATGTTTTCAGGAAGGGGAAAAAGTTGCCCTGAGTGTGGTGTTAGAAAACAATTCAAATGCCAAGTTCAACAGCAGCTGCAACCCAAACAGCCAGGAGGTAGAGGGATGAAGTGGGGACCTGCCCAGTGTGAGCTTAGAGCTAGCTGCTTCTCTCCTGGGCTGTGGTCTTGTGCGGCTGTTTTAAGGAGACTGCTGTACACACTTTTGAGGGTACCTATCAAGTCACTGCAGCTGGGATGTGACATCACAGGTGTCACCTTCACTTATTTACTCTGATGTACATTCCATCAAGGCCTCAGGGGCACTGTGAACTAACCAAAAATTAGGTGTGACAGTTTGGATTGAGGATGGCTTCTGTCTGTTGGACCCTAGATATCGCAGCAGATGAGTCACTAAGACACTAGGCCCCTCTGCAAACGCCCTGCTTCTCCAAAGGATCTAAGGATCTAAGGATGCCACTAAGGATCTAAGGATGCCCAGTGACAGGTGACTCTGGAACTCCTTTGGTCAGCCTGACCCACTCACAATGTTTGGAAAGTTCTAGCTTTGGCTCTACTCTCTGTAGGTCTTTCACAGCCACCCCTTTACACAGAAGAACAGGCCCTTCACTGTGATGAAGGCCAAGTGTCAAGAGGACCCTGTGTGTCTGCCCCTGATAGTTTTAGTCCATCCCCAGGTCACACTCTGTGAGCTTCTCCATCCCCCTGACTGCACACGCTTATATACCCACCACAGGGTCTTTTCTAGTACTCAGGAATTTGTTTAATGTGCTTTCCAGGCCTTCCTATGGAACTTATCTCACATGACTTGCCCTTATGAGTCTCTCCTGACATTATCATCAAAACCAGGTCAGGATCATGCTCTGTATGCCCTCACCTACCATTCTTTACCTTCAGAACACATGCCTTCCTTTCTAAATACAGTGGAAAGCATGGGGCCACACCTGTCTGTTTCTCAAGTGTAGTGCCTGTGAGAATAAAATACATCATACCCTGCTTGCCAACAAATTCCTATCTCCAAATATATGGCTGGACACATTAGAGCCCTCAATTAGAACTGGTTGGGGGGAGGTAAAGGAATGAACGAGTGTGTGAATAAACCAAAACAGAGCCTCCCTTCCCAGGAGCACGGTGCACAGTACTCCAGGATCCATTGGCTTGACTTCATAGGGACCTCCCCCATCAGGATGTCCAGCCACACCTTCCTCAACATCCCTACCTGCCCCTGACTCTTAAATGAACAATGTCTCCCCCACCTCCCAGACGCTCTCCTCCCTGACTTTCTACTCTCGACAAACCCACCTGAGGGTGCCATCCACTCCAGGGATCCCCACTCACTCTTCAGTTTGTCAGTATTCGTTGAGACTCTGCCCCACATCCCAGAGTTCCTCTTGTTCTGCTCTCCAGTGGCCCATGCTGCCAACTCTCCTGGAGGGCTCCTACCAGCTGCTCCTATTGGCTACCCTTCCTAAGCACCTCACCATCCCATATCCATGTCTCCCATGGCCTTGATGAAAACCTGTGCAGCGTCCTACTCTCTCTCCTCCATCACCTGTGACATTTCCATAAAGCAATCCTAGCTCTGTGTCTCCCCAGCTTCCAGGATTTTTATTCCAATAGATTAAAAACCTAGTAAAGGCCATTCATTTTCATGAGCTTTTTCTGAATAGAGTAGTTCATAATATCAAAATGTCAGAAGTATCTGAATTAGCCAACATCAGAGAACAGCTTTGTAGGTCACAGCACATGTGTACAATGAAACCCAGACATCTGCCACCATTATGACATTGCCTGTGATCCTGGCTACATCTACCTCATCTGTCTATTACAGTATGTCACGAGTGATCTCAAATGCTAAGCTAATCTGAATGCGTCTTATTAAAGGACAGGTGTTTTTTTTTTTTAACAAACTTACATTTTTTTTAAACAAACTTGGTCCTGCATAGAGATAAGGTCTGAACTTCATGGTAGTCATCACCTGTGAGCTGCCCCTGATGGCTGCCTTTGTTACAGACGACACTCCTCAGCTCTGTTTTAACTCTGTAAGATACACAGTGTATTGATCGGTGTGTGCTCCATTTCCTCCCCAAGAAAAGTCACCCCTAACAGGTCAGTTCTTCGTTCACAACCACACTTCAAAATCCACAACAGCCCCGGGTCCATAGTTTATCCCCCAAATACAAACAGAACAATGGATGGATGGATGAACAGATGAGTGGTGAGAGCAGAAAGGCTCGTGATCCACCCTAGACACAACAGGAAGCATTAAAGGTGTTCTACTCTAGACACAACAGGAAGCATTGAAGGTGTTCACTACGACGGCTACACAAGTAAAGGCCCTCGCTTGCTCGCTCGTGAAAACATTATTCCAAACAGTGAAAAGATATACAAAATTAATGCAATTCCTTTGATTCCTCAGAGTCTCAGTAAATTTCTGTGCTTCCTACTGGAGATGGCACCCAAACAGGTCTTCAGAGAGTGGGTGATTGTGGACCTCCTCAGCACCAAGCCAGAAGCAGCTCCGGCCTAGTTCACACACTCCCCCTGCACCTCTACACTCAAGGACTCCAGCTTCTCTTTCTGTGGCTAGAATGCAGTGTCCACAAGTGTGTGACATGTGTGCACATGCATTTGCCTAACAGCCTTGGAGACGATTCCTGAGCTTGGAAAACATCAAGTCAGCAAACCAGACACTGAACCTCACACCCCAGGAAAGAAGAGAGTAGGGAAAAACAGTTGGGAATTTCCAGTCTAGATGAAACCCAGCTGCCTATGCCCAGTTCCTTAACGCTGCCTCTCCAGACACATGTGTCTTAGGTACTTTTCTTATTTGCTATGACAAAATGCCCAGCAGTCAACTAAAGGGAAGGGAGGGCTTATTTCGACTCAGAGTTCAAGGGGACACAGTCCATCATGCTGAGCACGACAGGGCAGCAGGTGCATGAGGCAGCTGATCACATTACATCTGCAGTCAGGAAGCAGACAGGGACGATACTGGTCCTCTGCTCACTGTCCTTGATTCCTCCACCAGGATCCCCAGCCCAAGAGATGGTGCCATGCACACTCAGGGTGGGTCTTCTCTACTCTCTTAAGCTCTTCTGGAAACACCCATTTATAGACACATCTATGGCCTGTCTACAGTGATTCTAAATCCAGTCAAGTTGCCGATGGTGACTAGTCATCAGAGCAAAGGAAAGAGTATCGCAAGTCTACTTGTAGCCCAAGGAACCTAAGACCAAGAGGTTTAGGGCCGGGTCTTATCTTTAGGATAATGACAGAAGTTGTTGGGAGTCCAAAGAAATGACCATCTCTTTCCAACACAAAAATATCTTTTCCTGGGAATACATGATGTTCCAGTAGGGGGCAGGAAGTCCGTGGGGTGGCATGGTTGGGTTGCCTTGGACCACTGTTTAGTGAGGGCTCTATTAGAACCACACACACTCTCCTCCGCCAGTCAGATGCATGATTGATCTTTGCCAGTGGTACATACTTGTTTTCAATCTTCTGAACTCTTTTCAGCAACAGTAATTAATGTCGGACAGTGTATTTTCTGGTTAATGCAACCCCGCACCTATAATAGCTCAAATCTGCGCTTTCTCTCTCTACCATGCCTCCCTCTCCATGCTCCGTCTCTT